GATTAGCTTCATTTTATAGTCAAAGAGGGGAATGTGATGATACAGAGGGAATGTAACTAATCAGCAGCTGGCTGTAATCCACAGGGACTAGACAGGACAATACTGCTGGACTCCAACTCCCCGCTCAGGAATGTATGACAGGACAGAAAAAACTGCGACCACTGACCAGGGGAAGTCTGACTGAGTACACACACAACTCTGTGTGCGAACTTGTCATGCTGCAGGGATCAAAAATGTCTTAACACAGTCACATTAGTCAGACTCCACCCAAGGTTGGCGGTGGCGTTTCTGAAAATGAAAAAACCCAAAGCTGATTGAGGAGAGATGAGTGAGAGTTTTGTTTCAGTAGAAACTCAACATGGTGGCATCAAATCCCCCACCAACGCAGACAGTGTCCAAGTATAAATGCTAGAGGTGTTTATCGCTCCCTTTTAAGACAATCAATCTAGATACATGTGCTACAATACGATTTAGGGATGATGCACTTTAATATGGAACAACGATTTGATACGATGCAATCTGATAGAGCTCCTAACATTTGTTTAATGTCAACATTTTCCATTCTAAATTTTAAAAAAGCCAGTTCCATAAAAGTGCCATTGCTTACCCTCAAATACATATATTGTATAAAATATCAGAGGAATGTTTTCTTTATGGCATGAGAAAAAATGGAAGACAAATGTCTCATTTAGTAATTCCATGTCATTGTGTTTATTGCTTTTTCAATAGACACAGACAAATAATACTTTCTACCATGATTACCTTAGACTTTAGATTTTAGATTTTCACTGTAAATCGTGTTGCCGTAACTGTTTGTTTATGTATCGAGGTCGCAAGCCATGCTGCGCTAACCATACTGTCATCACTCTTTTGATCTTTTTCGGATCTTTTACCTTTCACAAGTGTGGAGACGCTGTTAGCAGCAAATCTTCAGTCAACCCATTCATAACTTAAGAATTGGACCAACGACCAGTTCATGATACATTTAGATCGATCCAGGAGTCTGTGTACTGATGTAGTGCATCTATAACATTGTATCGGTCATTCTTTATACCCCTATAAATGTACATAGGTAGGTAACTCAACGTAAAGCCTACACAACTATAAATCAGCCTGAAGGTTCCGTTTGAGTGTGGTTACTCAGAACAGAAACACTTTTGCTTTAGACATGCTGCACCAACTTGTCGTGGAGTTAGTCTTTAGGGAAATCATGTAAAACAGCGTGTGTGTGTTTGTGTGCATTATTAAACTTCAACAAAAGGAAGGAACATATTGATCTCCTGGAAGACAAAAGTTGCAGTGAAACCATCACATTTTTCAGTTACGTGACTACGTGAATCTAGGACACTATAGGCAACAACACTGACATGCTCTGGATGAAAATAATGAGGTCTCTTTTTCCCAGAACAGAGGAGCGTAAGCTGACTGGAGCACAGATACTTTTTGACTTGGCGAGAGAACTTTATAGCTTTCATCGCTGAAATGGGCTGTGACGCCAGTGGCTTGCTCACTTGTACAGTAGCACTGTTCTCCGTCCTCGGGCAGCTGAAATGGAGGGGGTTGGTGGTGGTGGTGGTGGTGGTGGTGACTTTGTCATTGAATATGTAGCCCTCACCAACCCTATCAATTCTTGGAGGTTTATTGTATTATGGTAATATGGGACAGTAAAAGCTTAGCTTATTGCCTCCCCCTCTAGTCAGAAACCAGTGTTTGTTCTTGTTCCTACAGTGTGCTGTTTGAATGCTGTCTGTGCAGAGTTTGACTCTAGAAGGATGTTTTCACATTCATCTGCTGAAAGTGGAAAGTTTCTCTGTGCTCATTGAAAAGCTGATTTTTAAGGGGCGGGGGCCTACCAGCATATAGCAGTAGCAATAGTTTGGAAGTCAGTCTTGGTCCAGTATGCAACTTGTACAGTGTGATGTAGAAACTTGAAGCCGCCAGTGCACATCCACTGAGAATGGACTTTACAGTGAAGTAGGAGACATCTTGGTCCAGCAGGAAAACTTTTTGCATTTTACTTTTTTGTTTCAGACACACATTATTGTTCCAAGCAGACTAGTTGTATATATATCTTAAAACATGTCTGAAGGAGATCTTTAAATAAATGCTTCCTTGGCTGTGGCTCAGAAGGGAGAGCAGATCGCCCACTAATCAGGAAGTTGGTGGTTCGATCCTCAGCTCCTCCCCTCTGAGTATGTTCTTGAGCTAGAAGACACTGAAATGAAAAAAAACCCCGAATTGCTCCCGATACTGTGCTATCAGTGTTTGAATGGGTGAATGTGACATATGTAAAGTGTTTGAGTGGTCGGACGACTAGAAATGCGTTTATAAGTGCAGTCCATTTACTATTTGAAAATGTATTAAGTATTCACAACTGTATTTATTTCACACTATGACCCATCTCACAATTATAGCAATTCTGTACTAACTCTGATATACTCAGCATCAAGTCACTATCATCTAATAAGGTCATTTAATCTTTATAAGTGTTGACATCCTTGACAAGTTATTCTCGTACATGTACTGATTCATTAACATTTGAATTAGAAATGTAGCAGCATTACTAACGTTACAGAAATGTCCTCAGAAACAGAATAATACTCTATTTGTGCACGCACGTGCACACACACACACACACACACACACACACACACACACACATTGCTGTAGGCTCTTTGACTCATGGAAGCACGTGTCTGTAAAAAGCTAACTGTATCAAGGAGAGCGGGATTATTATCTGTGAATAACAACGAGGTGAGCCCTGAGCCATGACTGTATGTCTCACAGTGATCCTTTTGTTGGAGAGCACATGACCTTGAAAAGAAATGATGCTGTATGTACAGAGCATAGATTTGCGTGCTACAAACAATGAACTGTACATTAAGTACAATACCTGTGTTTTTTGCCAAACCTATCGCCTCATCAGTGCCTTCATCTGGATATTTTCCACTGTTAAAAACTTCTGTAATGTGCCATTATTATAATAATAAATGGAAACTGGTGATATTTGATTTGATATGTTAGATGTTGGTGATTATGTGTTTTTGTGTAACATGCATACATGATTTCAAGATTTTTTTTGTCTCTTGATGATGTATGTTCATGAAATTTGAGATTGTGTAACCCAGGACTCACTTTTTTCAAGCACTGTTGTCACTTCAGCATAGAGGTATAAAGCATTATGAATGCTAAACTTATAATACGTTATGTCCACCACTTAATACTTTATAAACCTTGTTAGAACTTGTCATGCAAGATTATAGACATTTATAAAGGTTTTTATAAAGCTTTAAAAAATGCATTATGATGTCTTATGAATGTGCTTATAAAGCATTATAGATATGACCTTCATAAAAGTGTTAACAGAAGACGGGGATCACTGAGATTACAGTTTATCAAATACTAGTTCACGGCCTGGTATGTATCAATCACAGGGGTCTTTTACACCAGGGGTGGATCTAGAGGGCTGGCATGGCCATGCCATACATCAGTTGATTGATTTCTAATGCCACCTTTAGCTATTTCTCAGTGCTTTACTAATGTGCCACAATAATGTTTTTGAGTTCAAATATCTTCATTTGGGGGCATTTCCAAACACATATTGATATATGTGATTGTTTGCAAGTAAATCAGAAGACAGTTCTGCCACCAGTATTTTAGTATTAGTATAAGCACTGTCAGAGACCCCCCAAAATTATACAAATCGTGTTTTTAGGGGAGCTCATGTCTTATTTAGAGAAGCCAAGCTGTCCCACGCCCCTGTAGGTTGCACACTGGTTAGGACCACTGGATTATGTAACGGAGAATCATATTCTCTACTAACATTTCTTATTTATCTACTGACATATACTCCAACTCCACGCCATTACATATTTGTAATGAGGTAAAACCATCTCCTAATATCAGACCCCTGATTTATAAACCAGGCTCTACATGTGGTTTTATGTAGTATTGTATTTATGTAAGTATAGTAATGTAATAGGGCTAACACTCATATCACATAGCACAACTCTTTACAGCATGACAGCAACTAATGCAGCACTCTGAGCAGCTTTTCCAGCTGCAGTCTGGATCATGCATACATTAACATGGTTCGATGGAGATCAGATCATAATTATAACCCTAATTTGAGTATTTCTATGTTAAATATAAGTCTGAGATAAAATACTATCAGCATGAATACACAATGTGTAAATGCAAACCCGATCCATTATCTTAAATGTCACATGCATTTCACACTTCATGCTGAATTCACATATCGTACAGACCTCAACTATGAGCAGCTGAGGAGGATAAACCGTTCATGTCAGCCTCTCCGTTTTCATCAGATTTCGGGAATTAAGGAGCACTAGGAGGAGCCAGAGGAACCTGATTTTTTCACAGATTATCTGTCTCATTATTACTGTAAGGATATAGTGAAAGCAAATATAACAAAAAGTTATATTTATGAAAGTTACTGCAACTTTAAGTCTATCTCTTAGTCTGAGATGTGTCCATAACCTTTAAAATGAATCTAAATGAATTAGTTTGGCAGCATTTGACACCCTAGGGGTGGCTGTGGCTCAGGCTCAGAGGTAGTGGGGTCGTCCACTAATCGGAAGGTCGGTGGTTTGATCCCTGGCTCCTCATGAACAAGATACTGAACCCCAAATTGTGCATCACTGCTTAGTTTCTGTTCTGGTGAGCAGTTGGCATCTTGCATGGCAGCCACTGCCATCAGTGTATGAATGTGTGTGAATGGGGTAAGTGTGGCATGTAGTGTACAGCGCATTGAGTGGTCAAAAGACTAGAATGGTGCTATATAAGTACAGTCCATTTACCATTACCTGCGCCTGAGTATCTCAGTGAAGTAAAGTTGTAGAAAAGCCTCTCACTTTGAGCCTCTGTGCTGTATAATGTTATCTTATGCTGCCTTGGATAATCTTATGCTCTATCTCCATATTAAAGCATTGCGTAAGGTGAACTATGTGTATGTAAAGAACTGGTGAGAAGCACCTTACCTTTGCTGGAGTTATTTCCTGTATGCTCAGTGGGTTTGTCCTCTAGGGCTGGACGATGTGTCTGCCCATTCAATTCTGCCTGGCTCTGGCTCTGGACTGGTAGGGGTCTCTGGACCAGGTTCCCCTCACTGCCCGCCCTCATCAGCCTCTCTCCAATCCGCAGCATGCATGAGCGATTACCCTGCAGCTCCTTTCTCGAGCCCTGGCTCTTAGACCCTGCTGATCCGGGTCGACCCAGACGGGAGGAGGACTTGGACATCTTCCCTCCTGGGCTGAGCAGAGCGCTGGCTAGATACTCCAGGGTTTGCCTGGGTCCCTCATTCACTTGTCCCTTTTTTCGTCTCCCTTTACCCCTGCTTGCTTCTTCTTTCTGTGTGAGTCCCTCTTGTTTCTTGCCTGCTTTTCTTCTCTCTTATTTCTCTTCTTTTGTCCTCCCCTTTCCAGACAGTGGTATCTGTGCAGCCCTGGACTGACCCTGTGTTTGAAGCAGTGATTAGTGGCTGTTCACAGAGCGTAAAGCCAGTTCACTCTGTATATTCCCGCTGCCTCTCTGTCAGCAGTGTGCTCCCTCTGTGAGCCTAAACTCCTGTGGCAGAGCTCTCTGTTTCCCTACATACACTCTTCTCTCTCCCTGCCACCTCCTCTTCTTTCTCTCCCTCTGTTTTTCCCACTTGAAATCTATGTTTTTCGTATTTTTAAACCCCTTTCCCCTCTCTCTCTGTTCTCTCTTTCCTCCCACCGACTCAGATGTGTGTGCTGTTCACATGTTGGCTTTGCATTTGTGTGTTTACACCACGCTAATCCGTTTTGATGTCTCAATCCTCACATTAGGCTAAACTAGAAACTGTCATCTTTTTTGCTTTTCATCTCTACACTTTCCACTTTCCTTCATGCATCTTTTACTGTCTAATATTTATATCTTCTAAGTGATATTGGTGTTATTCCCTCTGGCTGTTGCAGAAATCTATGATCCAAGTTTCTAAAAGTTGCAGTTTACTACTCTGTATTCACATCTATAATTACTGTGTTCTCGTTGTTTACATTTGGAATAGGAATTGTCCTCGATCTTGTGGGAACAAGATTCTTCAAATGTGCAAACGAGATGTGTTTATTGTGTAAGAATGTTGGCTATGGATCTAAAAGCCTGTTGTGAAGATGTGACCCTGCCTGCAGGTTGGAGTGCCAGAAGCTTGGTTCCTGTGATGTTACTTTCACACTAAAGCTCAGAGGTGTCTGTTGAGTAAATCTGCCAGTTTCCACTGAGTTCATGTAAAACTGCAAACCTTTCATGGGTTGTAGTAGTAATAACGTTACCATGAGGTTCCCTGGAGGTAAAGATTTGGATGCTGTGCATATATTTTTGTACAATGTACAAAGTATTCTAATAACCACATAAAGTAACATTTTAATTTAGTTTTTTTTATAATGTAAAATTTCCCAAATACTCTAATAACCGCATGAAAGATTGTTTTGGGGGTTATTTTCCATGCTGGTAGCCTTTTTGATAACCCTTCCACAGTAATTTGAGGATGTTTCACAAATGTTTTGTAACATGTAACAAAGGCTAGAGTTATTACACATTCTTTGAAAAGGCAGAGAAATGGTAAATGAATAATTTAAAAAAAATTTCTTTGATTGTGATAGAAAAAATGCATATAAACGGTTCTGTTTTTCATATCAGTCTTCCTGCATCAGTGTCCACTATATTTGGCACCATTGCCTGCATTTGTGGTCACAGTGTTGAGTCTAATACTGCCTCTGCAGAATGTGTTCATACTCCAGCCTTTGACAAAGAGGGTGAAGGAGATTACAAACTGCGAGCTTATTGTCTTGTTCAAGGGTCCTGGTGAAAACAAGCGCTGGCAGGAGTAAGTGTCAGATTTTCAGTGAGAATAGATTTGACCATTTCCATTTATGTTACTTGCATATTATAATTAGGAAAAGGTTAGAGGAGTGTTTATAGAGAATCTGAAGAAGCCACATGAGAGTGAAAGCTGACTATTATGAAAAACACACATTATTGATTTGAACAATGGTACCTAATATAAAATATCAGCATATTATGCATTCAGGACTCATTACTAAAAATTATGCATAATGCAGCAATGCAGCTCGCTTCACCACCTCACTTGGGCATGGCTTTTTTTCCTTTTATATTTATTTTGGTTTTCACTAGGTTTTGTGGAGTCTGTCCAAGGCCAAATTCAGTCTGACTACAATACTGATGGGTCCTGTGCTACCTGTGATTATATGTACCAAATACTACATCCATTTCTTGCATATATAAACTGCATTAATGGTAACACTAGTAACTAATAACACTAGTGCAGAGTTCACTTTTGATTGTTAGTTTATTTTATGGAACTTGGACATACTTCCACAGAGGACATCAGACAGATCTCATATAGCAGATGTACTCAGTGAAAACTCTGGGTCTATAGGAATATAATGTTTGTGGTAAACACAGAGTTCATATTCAAACCACTGACAGTAGCTTTAACAAGAAGCAAATGCAAAACAAAATAGTCCAATTGTGATCCCTTCTTTATACGCGATGAACAAACATCTACTAGAAAATCTGCTATTTTTCGGTCTTTTGTGACATATGCTGCTGATTTACCATGACTCCATTTGGAAATGTGTTCTTTTATTACAAACTGTTAGCTGCTGTTAGTTCAGCACAGGGTGGCTGTGGGTAACTAAGAAGTCACTATTTTGGCGTGAGCGCCATCTTTGGGCCAACTTGCCCTATTTCACTCCATGAGGAGGAACCACAGAAAGAACGGTTCTTTTTATTGACCTATAATAAGTTATAGTTTAGAGTTAGAATTCCTCAAGCAAAGGTCCAGAACATCATAATGTTAACCTGTGTTATGATTTAGTGCCATGCCTATACTGAAGTAGCCTAGACAAGTTTATTTGAAATACTCACTGTAAAATAAAAAATAAAAAACAGTCCTAGGTTTCTGCCTTTTAACAGGCAGTTTTTCCTTGCCCCCATCACCAAGTGCTTGCTCATGGTGGTACTGTTGGGTCTCTGTAAATAATGTTATAAGGAGTCCGGTCTAGACCTGCTCTATTTGAAAAGTGTCCTGAGATAACTTGACTTGAATTAACTGAGATGAATTGGCGCTATACAAATAAAATAAAATTGAATTGAATTAAATGTAATAATTATACATAACAAGTATCCTAAAAATATATTTTTTTTCTCATTTCAAGTAAAATAAGGGCTACATTTAAAAATTAAACACATAGGAGAGAGCTTTTGAAATGTGTGCATCTTTAAGTGAAAATAAATAACAAATGTAGCTAGAATTTCCCTTTTTCTTGTTTTGTGTTAACTCCATTTAACAGCTTAACAGTCTCAACAAATATTATAATAAATAATCTCAACACATCTCAACAACCTAACAGCTTTAACTCCCCCTCTTTCTTCTGTTTAGTGAGAAAAAAATATATAAAAACTTTTATAATTGAATAATTTAACGGTTACAGGTTCAGGTCCAGATAGGACGGGGTCTGGCAGGTACCGTGAGGTAATACGAGATATGTAGAAATTTTATTTAATTTTCCACATTATTTTTAACACGTGGCTCGAATATTGTTCGGCAAGCACATGAACCGAAATATAGCAACCACACTCCAATCCACAGGGTGGCAGTAATGTACCTAAAAGTTGTTTTCCAACCAACCGCCAGTAACAACAACCAAAAAAACCACAGAAGAAGAGTGAGCGGTCTGCCTCGAGTGTAACACCTCTGCCACGCTTTTCTCTCCATTTTCCCTCACAAAATGACCACACTAAATACACTGAAAACTTTTATCAACCAGCGGCTCGCTGTGGCTGTAGACGAGATATTCGGGCTGCTGGAAACAACAATATTAAACTACGAGGAAGAGATAAACCGCCAGCGGAGGCTGCTGGAACATGAGAGGACTGAAATCAAAACAGGTCCGAACAAGTTTTCTACATTGTTCTTAACATTACTGCTCTCCTCATGGCCAGTCTCCTGTTACAGTACATGTGCTGGATTTAAAGCAGCTGAGTGAACAGCTGGAACACAGCTTGTGCAGAGAACAGCTGTCCGCAGCTGCTTCTAGCCCAACCAAAGTGAGGCAGGAAGTTGAGCACAGTTTACTTCTTTCAGAGTAAAAGCGGGAAATGAAACGAAGGTTAACGGTGTTCTTGCTTGTTCAATGAGGCCCACGGCCACGGTACATCACATTCGAAACCAAACTTTTTTTAAGGCGTTATTCAGAGGTTAATTTAATGCACTGCGACCGGAGCTCGGGCCTTCGCGCCATGATCTTTAATTGTCGTTGAAAAAGATGGCACCGGAAGTAATTGCGGATCTTTGACGCTCCGAAAGGAATCATAAAGTTGAACTAACGTTGGCTGTGCTAAACGCTACAGGAGAAATAAACAGAGATTACAATAGTGCTACATTGTACTCAAGTACTGCTATTGTACTGTTACTTTTAGTAGTAAATGTCTAGTATGTCCAGTGGGACAGTTAGGAGGATCTGTTGGCATAAATGGAATGTATTATTCAATATTCCTAGCTATAATCACCTGAAAGTAAGGTGTTCTCACTACCTTAGAATGAGCAGATTTCATCTGCAGGGAGCAGATCCTCTTCATATTGAACTGCCATATTTCTACAGTGATTCCCTCCAGGAAGTTGCAATGTTGCAATCGCAACAATTAACGCGAAGTCAATCAATCTCTGTGAATTCTGCAATTCACCAATCATAGCAGCCCAACCCCAACCCAGAACGTTGTGACATAATGTCATCAACTATTAGCAATTTTATTCCTGCTGGAACAAGCTGCCTTTGATTTTTACAAAAACATTATTCACTTTATCACACAATGTGATTGCAAAACAAAAAAATGCCTAAAAAGATAAAAGCTGTCATATAATCAAACATTTTAGTACCGCAACAATCCTTCCACCTAAAAAGCCAGCAAAATCCTGGATGGACTGTAGTAACCTACAACAGCCAATCTGTAGATGGGGCCTTTCACATTTTACACACATTTTGCAGCCATTGTTGTTTCTCCCACACACTTAAAAGTCTGTTGGTTGCAATCTGAAACTTCACTAGATGCTACTATACACACTTGTCCTTTGATTAAGTTATGTTCTATGTCAACATAACCTGTAAAACATAAAGAAAAAATGCTGATATATCATTGTACTGTTTAAAAGATAGATAGATAGATAGATAGATAGATAGATAGATAGATAGATAGATAGTATTTAGGCTAAAAAACAAACTGCATTAAATGTCAACATATACACTAGTGAAACGAGATCACGTCACCATCAATAAGCTCCATTTCCACTTAGCAACATGTGTTAACAACTGACCACAGCAGGTGCAACGCGTTTTATTAAATGTACATAAATGAAACAACATTCCACATTAACAGCAGAAGAAAGCATCACCAAAACAACCAGCAAGATACATATGAATTAGTGATAGGCCGATTAATCGGGCCAATTACCTGACATCGTAATGCACATGCAAATGTGGAGATTGTGGAGTGATGGTCACGTAGGGGCACTCTGCAAGCAGTTAGGGGTTCAGTACCTTGCTCAGGGGGACCTCTCCAGCTGCCAGTCCACACCCCATAAGTGGTCTGTGCTGGACTTGTCTTCCCTGCTCTATATGCAATATAATAATGTGTCCATTATTACGGCTGATCAATACGAAGATTTGCAGTTCAGTGACACTCTGAACTCCTATATCAGCCCTCTATCTGCAGCCATCCAGGAGAGACGCTCTGTGGTGTGCAGTAGGACTTTAAAACTAAACTCTATGAGCAGGGCACACTTTTACTTTCACAGACTGTGTGGAAATTGGACTTTGTAGTTTTCGCTGTAACTTCTGCTTTCATGCTTGGTTGAGTCAAGCATTTTCACTTGGTTGTAATCTGCAAACTTACCACTCGATGCCCCTAAGTCCTACACACTGGTCCTTTAAAATTTTGTAATATGAGTGAAAACTGATAGCACTAATGAGATCTTTAGACTGTTTTTGTTTTAGCTTTTTGACCTATATGTTTTAGTGGTCAACCAATATGGATTTTTCAATGGCTGATGCTGATATTTAGAAGGCAGGGCTGCTGATGGCTGATATCCAACTTCAATATCAAAACAAAGAAAAGTCATGTATGATTCCACTTAACAAGAATTTCAGGCTTACGTGCACAGCAGGATGTATGAGTTATAGTTCAGAGCTCGAAACAAATACCAACCTCCTAAAACTCAATGGGGAGTACTAACATTGTAGGGCTACACAATATGGTAAAAACATCATATTGCAATTAATTTGACAGATATTGTGATTGCGATATGATTCATGATTTGTGTGTGAATGGTCATTTTTTGATGATGTGGCATTGGTTGGGCTCTGTACCAAACAAACATGTTGTCTTACATCTGGAGAACAAGATTTGTGACCTGTGTGACAGTTTCTGTGTTTCCTTTATATGCAGAGGCGCAACAACCTATGAGATTTCGAGTCATCATCGATCACGACATCAAGAAGATAACTTTCCAAAATGGCCTCCCTTCATCTGTGGAGGACTTGATAAAAGTGTTTCAACAAGCGTTTTCCATCACCACAGCCATAGGTCTCCAGTACAAAGATGCTGACTTTGATGACTTCTTCACGCTTACCTCTACAAGTGATTTGAAGGATAAAGACACACTCAAAGTCGTGCACATGCCACCAGGCATAATAATGACCATGGTCCGTCAGGAACCCAACCCAGACACATCTGATGTGTCCTCTGTGGATGACATGCTCTCTGTGGACTCACAAGACAATCTGATCCCCAGTCCCCCTGTCACTGAGAGGCACAACCTCTGGCCCACCATCTTTCCCATCCCAACCTTCTCCTACAACACTGAGATGGCTCTGAGGCAAGGCAACGAGAAGTTTCTAAAAGATGGAACCCTGCTGACATCCCCCAGTGTCAAATCAGACATTCTGGAGCGTCTGGCAGAGGCCATGTTTTCCTACACAGCTTATCCCAATGACCCACAGAGGACCGCTGTTGCACAGGCACTAATAGAGAAGCATCCCTGCTTGAGGGAACCTGGCTCTTTTAACGGATGTTACGGATGGCAGCAGAGCTTGAAGTACAAATGTGCAAACTACCGGAGCAAACTTAAAGCTCACGGAAACCCCGAACTACTGATAAATACAATGAAACACAAGCAGGAGGGTGATAGAAAACCCGCCAAAAATATCAAGAAACCGAGGAAATCTGAGGTCAACTACCTTCCGCCACACCTAGCCGGAGAAACGGACGACAGCCTGGAGAATGTGAGACTGGAGCTCATTGCAGCAAGCAGGACAAAGGACAACGTTCAGAGGATAAATGACATGATGTCCAGAACATACAGCTGTAGAAGAAGGGAAGTGGTTGGCCAGGCCATGCATGTGACAGAATTCAAGGAGCGATGGCCTGCCCTCTTTGATCCAAAACAGGTAAATAAACAATTGATCCTCTTGTGACTGCAGGAATACATATATTGCATCTCAGTGTAGTTCAGTGGCTCTGAAACTGGAGTGAATAGCTGCTAACTAAGCTCTGCTAAATCTGAAATTAAATAAAATTTAGAGACTCACCTCTATTTTCTGGAAATCTTTAATTGTATATTAGCCTGTGCTGTGGCCAAATTAATGTTATTGTTAGAGGAAAATTGCAGTTAATTCAGAAAGTGGAAAAAGCCAAGCATGTAGTCGATCACAGCAGCAGAGGACAAGAGGAAGGACTGATACTGACTGATGTCTGTGTGTTTGATGACAGGGACATCATTTATCTTACTGACATTTTAGAGTTGTTTTCAGTGTGATATTATTGAGTTTATATAGTGATACTAATCTTGTTTTGGACATTGCGTTTACTGCATCAGTGAGCATATTTGTTTCACTTTTTCATACTTTATGCTAATGAGTGTAAAGCCTTGGACACTCTAGAAGACTTGGAAAGTCATGAGATGTCTGCTTTTAACACTATGCAGCTTTCATTTTTGTTGTTGGGAGTCTTGAAATTGCTGTAGTTTTCACAGTTACAGTCACGGCTAAGTTAGTGTTAATTGACGTGAATGAACGACAAAATACTTCCACACTGGTGATTTCAGAGTAGCAAGAGGGGCTTCGATTTCGGTCGGTTGATGTGTATTTTTTAACTGGCTGCAGTCTAAAATTAGAGGAGTGTTGACGCCACAGTTCAGCACGTGTGTGTGTTTTTGCGTCTTGGCATACATGCTGGACGTGACATTTGGGGTGTGGCTGCATCGTCTACCTTTGAGATCGAAGTTCGAGATTGAGATGTAATTTTGATCGATTTCGATTTGACACGCCTATTAATAATACACATCATATTTAATTAGGAAAGTGGTTTAAAAACATGCACAAAGGGCAGTCATTTACAGCATACTGCCATTAGAAACTGAGTAAAATAGGCTGATAATTAGCCTGATCAGCCAGCATCAGTAATCAATACACACATTATTAAATGTGTGTGTATTAAAGCCTTAATCAAACTAATAACTAAAAGCAGTCAAAAACATACTAAAGAACACAAGCACAGACAATTAGTAATACAATAACAGAAGCACTACTCTAGTTTACGAAAGCATATTTGATTGTCCAGAAACCTCTGTTTTATAGATTGCAGATTTGGAGAAGAAGTTGAAAGATGTAAAAAGAGAATTGTTTTTCCGGCTGTTACCAAAGTAACTACCGGTTTCGGGAGAGAGAAGCTATCCCGTGTCTGGTGGTCTCTCTGGCTGTAGCTTATTGCATGGCTCCCCGAGTCGTCTTCAACACAACCAGATATTTAGCCTACTAGATATTCTTCTGGCGTTGGCGAGCTCTTGTCAGTTAGCCTCCGATCTGGGGGCATTTGTCAGCGATCTCCCAAAATAGTCCGGGAGTGGAAAATCAGGGCTAAAATCACATTGTGTGAACTCGGCAGAATGTGAAAATACACAACCAATATGGTTTACTGTTTACTGTGTTACTCCACTGTAAGCATGTTTTTATTTTTTACTTAAATTATTAAAACATTTATAATTTAATTTAATAAAAATTACTAAATTATATGACTGTACTGTGTAAAAAAACAAAAAAAAACAATTCTACTTTATTTGAACTGTTACTTATGGGCTGTTGCCAAATTAATGTACACACTCACCCAAAACCACAGCCTTTATGACCATTTGTAAGCAAGTGGTATCTCGGCTCTGATTGGTTGTTTTTTTGTCAAGGCCTGGTGGATTCCTGCAAATACCCCTAGGAGCACTAGGAGGAGCCAGAGGAACCAGATTTTTTTTTTTTACAGATTTTCTGTCTCATGAGTATTATAGTATAAGTATTAGGGCCATACTAAGAGAAAAAAACAATATCTTTTGGGGGGAAATTACAAGAATGAAGTCGTAATATTACGAGAATAAAGTCGTAATATTACGAGAATAAAGTCGTAATATTACAAGAATAAAGTAATAATTTTATGAGAACTGCCAGCCTGTTGGCTCAGCCAGCAAAACTGTTTAAAGACAATATTATCAATACGTTAGTTTACCTGTTGACTGTACGGTACGACTGAGACAAACAGTGGCTGCTGGGCTCAGGCTGAGGCTGCTGTTTGGTTGAGCTGCTCACGTCAGATCTTGATAACTCTATCGAAGCTTTTTTCTCATTAAAACAACTTTTTTTATTATTATTACGACTTTATTCTCATAATCCCCCCCAAAAAAAAAAGTAGTACTAGTCGTACATGTATTACTGTCAGGATATAGTGAAATTTTCAGCAAACATGACAAAAAGTTTAAGTTAAAGTTACCTACTGTAGCTTTAAAATATGTTTTGGAATATGTTTGGCACATTTTGGAATAGGAATCTAATTGAAAAAAGTATCCAGCCAATCTGGAGTCAATTTGGTACTTCCTAGCTTTACACTCTTAATGGCATTTTCCACAAGTTATTCTTATGTAAGCATGCACAGACTGGTTATTGGCAACCTTTTCGTCTCGACAATCATGACCGCATGTCAAACTGCATCCTGTCTGCTTCTCTCAATGTCACCAAAACAAAAAGCTTAAGTTTGTTCTTGCTGCTGGAGTACAGGATTACATTATATGGCAATGTGTCTGTGTTACTTTATGCACCTTCTGTGTGTCTTCTGGATAAGTAACTCACAAAATCCTGTCTTACAGATAAATGAAGAGTTCCGAAGGTGCAACACTATTCCCCTGGAGTCGACGTTTATCTCCCAGCTGGACAAGTACACGCCAAAGTTCCTGGAGTTATTCAGCTCAAAGGGAGGGGCCGTTGGACAGCGCATGAAGAGTGTGTTGATTGAACTGATAAAGGTGAGCTCATTGTGGGCAAAGGTCAAATAATGGGTTAATGTAGATTAGGTTTGTTAAAAGTTGAAGAGATTTCAACTTGAAGCGCTCTGAGCGCTGCACTAAAAAAGGGTTTTCGAAAGTAATTTAAATACTCGATAATGGAAATTTGCACATCATCAAAACAACAATGACGATATTATCGCAAATGATATATATCGCCCACCTCTAGCTGAGAGAATGAAGAATTGACTCAAACAAGAGAGATAAAGATTGGGAGTTGTCATTCATGAGCCAATGCTTTAACTGCAGGACCCACATGCCTCAGTGATGAAGAAGCGGGACGTGACTCTGAGATGCCTCATCGAGTACATGGGGGAGAGTGTGCAGGAGCTCATCTCTGACTATTATGTAAGTATTGTCCTAATAAGAAAATAAAATCCTTTTAAGTCTTGTTGTAGTTTTGAGAGCTTTATCTTTATTATGATTTTGTTTTATTTCTATGTGGTGCTCTGGTGGCGACACTCAAACACACACACACACGTATATAATATATATAAAGTGTTAATGTTATAGTGATAATAAATATATGATATGTTACAATACTGTTTTTATACTAATGGTTATAAAATAATATTAATTGACAGTACTATAACAATCACAATAGTAATCAGTACATCAGTTCATTAAATTGAACATTGTTTGTAGTACACTATCAGACTGAATATACATGCACTTAACATAACGAAATACGTCCTAGCTGAGGGTCTTCATAAAAGCTAAAATAAGGGGTTCCACCCCACATTTGTAGACTGGATAAGAGTCATACATACAAACCCAAAATCACGTGTTAGAGTGAATGGATGCTGTTCAGATTTTTTTTGTCTTGAGAGGGGGGTCTGACAGGGTGACTGCCTCAGCCCTTTGCTTTTTGCTATAAATATAGAACCTCTAGCTGTGTTAATCAGACATAATGATAGTATTAAAGGCATAAAAGATCAAGGTCAAATACAACACAAAATGTATCTCTATGCAGATGACATATATTAGTGATCCAGTTACCTCTGTCCCAGCATTAATGAGAAATTTGAAGGAATATGGAGAGCTCTCAGGCTATAAAATTAATTAAAGTCAGAGGCAATGATGCTGGTGGGGCACTGGCCTGCACAATTAACAGGCAGTATTAAATTCCACTGGTCTAATCAAGGGTTTAGATACATAGGTATCATCATAACACCTGACACATCACAGCTGTACAAGGCCAACTATGGCAAACTGATGGGCGCAATGAAAAATGACCTTACAAGATGGGAAGTTCTGCCCTTATCCCTAATAGGACGAGTGGAAACGATACGAGTGAACATCTTACCAAGGCTGCTCTTTGTGTTCCAATCTCTACTCATAGAGGTCCCCACCTCCACATTCAAAATAATCAATAATTGGCTATCTAAATTTATATGGCAAAACAGAAGACCCAGCATCAGATTGAAAAGATTGTTATGCACAAAAGAAAATGGAGGCCTTGATTTACCTAACCTGAAAAAATATTATTGGGCAGCTCAGCTTAGATCATTGGTTGCATGGATATCTCAAGACAACTATACTATATGGGTTGGGATGGAGCAAAATGACTGCCTAAACTTACCCCTAGAATTAATTTTCAATTCGATTCCATTTATGAGTCAAGAAAATAAATAAAATTGATAATCAGTGGGTGAAAACCACTTTAAGAATATGGTCCAATCTGAAGAAGAAATTATTCTAGAGCATGCAATGAAAATTGCACAAAATACAGACTTTCTTCCATCTAAATTAGGAACAGGGTTCAAGAAATGGGAGCGGAATAGATTAGTTATGTTGGACCAATTATTTGATGGAGGAGTGCTGATGTCTTATGAGCCAGCTCAGACATAAATACAACCTTCCTTTTTTTAAATATCTCCAACTGAGACACTATTTACAGAAACACAAAGAATGGGAAAAACTATGCACTTTACCCTCTAATATAGAACATTTCTTTATTTTAATAATTAAAGGGACTATTAAAAAGAAGGTTATATCATAGATATATAAGATACTACAAGAAGAACTAACTTTGCCATCACTGAGTGAATGTGTGTGAAAGGGTGAATGTGGCATGTAGTGTAACAGCGCTTTGAGTGGTCGGAAGACTAGAAAGGCGCTATACAAGTACAGGTCCATTTACTATTTACCATCCATCTCAATCCTATTGAACATTTATGGGCAGAGCTGAAAAGGCATGTGCGATCAAGGCGGCCTACAAACTTTGCTCAGTTACTCCAGTTCTGTCAGGAGGAATGGGCCAAAATTCCTGCCAACTATTGTGAGAAGCTTGTGGAAGGATATCCAAAATGTTTGACCCAAGTCATACAGTTTAAAGGCAATGGTACCAAATACTAATGAAATGTATGTAAACTTCTGACTTTCAAGAAAGTAATAAAAACATTGTCTAAACAATTCTCTCTCATTATTCTGGCATTTAGCAAATAGAAATCATTTTGGTAAAACCTAAAACAGGAAAAGTTTAATCTGATTTAATGTCAGACAGAGAGAAAAAATAGATCATGTGTCCTTTTATAGTGTATGTAAACTTCTGGTTTCAGCTGTATTCCTGAATAAATGGTCCCAAGTTAGCTCTTATTTTATTGATTGATATGATTTGTGATGTGACTGATGTGGGCTTTTCTTCCCCCTGCCATTCAATTATGAATAATGAATGTTTGTATACTGTATGTTCATCCTCTCACTCAGTGAATGAATATCACTGCCCACTTTCAAATATGGACTCTATCTGGACATTGTTATGATGTCAAAATCCATGGACTACCTCTACCCCATTTACACCTGTGTTGTATCCTTGAACGTGTGAATGTATATGACTGCACCTGATAAAGGGAAATTTAAAAAAAAGCTAACATGTAACATGTAGAATTCAAATACTTTGCACTAAATGTAAAGTCATAAAGCGCGACGCCTCCATGTTAGCAGATTGGACATCGGCATCAAAAAGTCAAAGTACATGCCAAAAACTATTTCCGAAAGATAGTCATTTTAGGTGGATCTTGTGGATCTTTAGGTAGCCAGTTGATGTGTTTTCAAGTGTTAATTTTTCTGACTGGTTTGGTTTTAATTAAGTATTTAGAAGCTATAAAAAGGGGGTTTTATGGCATGATTGACAGCTGAGCCCTGCTTGCGATTGAGTCTGACTTCGATATTGCGGCTCCAACCCCGATCACTGCGCAGACTCTGGCTCCAAAATTATGATTTTGGCTTAATTTTTGTTTAGTGGGAGGAAGCGGAGACACAGTTTTTCCATATTAATATGTGGATGACCCATATATATAGGTTTCAGCTGAAAAGAGAGGTTTGGGGGTTTGGTAAAAAAAAATTCCAGCCTCTGTCATCTTATGCAATTACCCAGGAGAGAAATAAAACAAAATAGAACGTAATGGAATTAAATAATGGGTGGGGTTTTATTAAGGCCACACAAAGTTCATTAAAGCTCCTTATAGTCCCTGGACTGGATTACTTTTTCTTTCTTTTTATAAACGCAAGCATGTCAACAACAGTGTGTCTTTGCATCTGTTGCAGAGAACAGCCGAGGATCAAGTTCATGAGGACCTTAAAACACAGAGTATGAGGATCTATGTTTGTCACCAGCCGGATGCGGTGGGCATCATCATCGATGGAACTCCGGTGCTGACTGGTCTGGAGAACATGTCCAGAGCCTGCTGCCTTCTCCTCGGCCTAACCTACGCCCTAAACCTGGATTATCCTCCCAAACTCGCCAAAACGTTTGAAGTCTTTCAAAGACTGTTTGTAGGACTTGATATGCTGCAGCCAAAACCATCATCGAAGTACATCAACTTGAAAAACAAACTCTTTCTCTGAGCACTGACTCTATTCATCCACAGCTCTGTTTGGTTACCATGTTATACTTAGGAGCTGTAAAGGTTTCTGGTTATCTGATGATGAGGATTCTACTGAATATGTTTGTAAGAACTGTCTTAACAACTAAGGGTTTAAACACTGAGGCTAGGATTTAGGGCCTTCCAGCTCAGTTCTTTGGAGAATGAGTGCTGTATAAGCTGTCAATGTTAGTAGTAGCTAATCTGTAATTTTTTTTACCTAATCAGACATGTTCTACTGTAGATTAAACTTTTATATTAACATCTGTTATGGGAAATATATTATACTGATACACATTTTAACATTTAAAAAATGACTTTTGCTTTTATACATTTTGTAAACTGACATTTTAGTTTGGGGGTGACTGAAGAGAATGTATGAATAAGTTTACTTACAGCATTCAGAATACAAGCAGAATTATGATTTTGTAAAAACAAATGAAAGAAAGTTATCTAATTTGTTCCTCAGTTTATCTGTCAATAGTTTATTCTTGTATAAATTACTATGACCTTGAAAAAGTTTGGGTTTAGCACAGATCTCAGAACAATCTAAAGAAAATTATGATGTCAGTGTTGTGGAGACAGAATACTTTTCTTTTTCTATTTGATGGAAATTAAAAGCATTGACATGATTTGGATATAAACTGAATTGACTATTGCATTGTGAACATTTTATGTTATTATTTGTGAATATAAGCTACATCTATCATATGGACAGCTGTGCCCCATTATCACTTATTTTGGTATTAAAGGTCATGTATTTCAGAAGCATTTTTTGTTATATTGTATATTGGAAATTTTATTTACATCTCAACAGAAATCATCATCATCATCATCATCATCATCATCATCCGCTTATCCGGGGTTGGGTCGCGGGGGTAGCAGGTCTAGCAGAGGACCCCAAACTTCCCTTTCCCCTGGCCTGGCTCCACTCCGAGTCCTTTGCAGATGACTGAGCTTCTCACCCTATCACTAAGGGAGAAGCCGGCCACCCTCCTGAGGAAACCCATTTTGGCCGCTTGTACCCACCATCTCATTCTTTCGGTCATGAGCGATGGGTCATGACCATAGGTGAGGGAAGGAACAAATATCGATCGGTAGATCGAGAGCTTCGCCTTTCAGCTCATCTCTCTTCATGACAACAGCACGATAAAGCAACCAAGGTTTCCTGCTGAGAACCATGGCCTCTGATTTAAAGGTGCTGATCCTCATCCCATCTGAACTGCAACCTCCATGAAAATCGCAGAAAAAAACAGGATTGGTGACAAAGCGCAGTCCTGGCGGAGGCCAACACCCACTGGGAACGAGTCCAACTTACAGCCAAGAATCCAGACACAACTCTCGCTTTGGAAGTACAGGGATTGGATGGCCCTGAGAAGTGGCCACGTCACCCCATACTCCCGCAGCACCTCCCACAGAATATTCTGGGGAACCCGGTCATAGGCCTTCTCCAAATCCAGAAAGTACATGTAGACCGGGTGGGCATATTCCCAGGCCCCTTCTAAGACACCTGCGAGTGAAGAGTTCCGATGTGTGTGAATGGGTGAATATAGTGTACAGCACTTTAAGTGGTTGGAAGACTAGAAAGGCACTATATAAGTGCAGTTCATTTGCCATTTACTGCCCCCTTGGATATTTATTCTATTTCCAACACCACATAGAGCTGATTCTGCTGCTGGGAGCAGGTAGAAGCTGTGCTGAGCACTTCTTTTCTCCCCTGCCCACAGAATTTGGAAGATCTAGACTAAATAAACAGACGGAATGTTCCAAACATGTTCTTTATTGTACTTGTACTTGTTTGAATGCACAGCACACAGCATACTGCACATGTGAGGACTATTTAAGAGAAAGTTACAAAGAGGAAGGTCAGAATGCTGCTTTGCCCTCCCAAACCTGTAATATTTTCTAGTAAGCTGGCCCGGCTGGGCGGGTAAAGACTAAAACTAAAATATCTGTCAAAATGAACACTGATTGGGTAGGAGTGTATTGAATGTCACTGCTTTGCGCTCCTGGATCAGACCAAACAGTGCTAGCTGTTACCCACTGTCAAAGGCCCTGTGCTGAAACACATATTTAAAACAAGCAGAGAAAAAAAAAAAAGACTTCCAGTAAGTCAGCTAGTGTTGCCAAGTTAAAAAATATTATATTTATCAAACAACTGTTTATGATGATACACTAAGTGGATGAGACCTGCTCTATAGGCCAATTACATTTACAGTATTGATTATGACCCTTAGCAGATCTGCCAAGCAGGGCACATCTGGTACCTGCACTGGTTCCAAATTGTCCAATCCATCGGAATTATATGCCTCTGAGTTGATCAGTTCCTTAAATCTAATTAATCTAATTTTTTGACAGTTGCACATTCAAAAACAATGACACAACACAACTTGTGTCTACACGGCTGCAAACTTGCAACAAGAAGGAGTCATGGTGGAGATAAAGAAACACTCTGAAGCGTGGCTGCATTTCACACCAGCAATATACTATACTCACATTTTCACACAGAAAATTGATCAGGATTAATTAAGAGAATTGATCAAGAATCTGAATGATCATGAGCATCGAAAATGGTATTAGTGTCAATAAAATCTCATCAATTCCCATCTCTAATTTTCAGTAGTCACAACATTTTACTTTCAGGCACCAATGTCTAAATATGTTAGAGTGTTATTCAGTTCAGTGACTCAGCTTCAGTTATTATGTCTGATGTGATGAAATAATACCAAGTTTATACGACCCGCAATACAAAAAAAACACTTAATGGCATGGTGATGAAAAATAAACAAAGTCATGTTAGAAAGAGATCCAGATTTAGGATGATCCTAAACTGGAGAGTCCCCATTTAGCTTTGGCAAAGTTGTTGTATCCTCTCTGCCAATTTCGAGCAGTGCAGGATCCTTGATTTCTCCTTCTGGAGCTCATCTGGACTCACTTGGCCCACCACCTTAGCAGAGAAGAGGATCAGGTCTTGCATGAAGAGGCCTACAGCCCCTCTAGGTGCAGGGGGGATTTCGGTCAGAGTGCCGGAGTCAAAGACAAAGTTGATGTTCTTGGCCCTGGGGAGGCCCGGTCCCCGTTCCTCAATCCACGTCAGAGGTCTAGAAGGACACAGATATTAAGTAATGTTCAGTGATTCTTTAATCCTCCCACTATAATTTACCCTTCCTCCACACCTGTGCTCTTCTTAACTGTCACAACAACAAAGGGATGCCAAAGGCTGGAACACATATCCACTCAGTTGGACAGTGGACTCCAAAATGAATTCAGATTCTTTAACCAACTTTTTTGGTTCTTAACCAATTTATTTTTGGTCAAAATGCTCTGAACAGTTGAAAACTAGGTGCTTGAGCCAGAACGGAGCCAGTTCCCTGCCCATCAGTGGCTGCTACAGTGGCAAGAATTTGGTTAATCTGGCTACTCCCCAATGCATAATATCATAGGAAGAACTTCGCTTTTAAAATAAATGTAGCTGAGAAACCTTTTTAGGACTATAAACAATGGAATGGGACAGACAACATTTCTTAACTCTACTTACACCGATCAGGCATAACATTCTGCTCTGACGCTCAAAGCCCACCAGATAATCAGTGTTATTCACTTCACTTGTCAGTGCTCACAATGTTATGGCAAGAGCTTGGCTGCTCCTAATATGACATTAGCCCCCTTGAAAACATTGAGGAAGCAGATATGATCCATAAGCATGTCAGTATCAAAGTGCCACATTTTTTAATAGAGTTTGGTCTGTAGAGGTGCAGAGATTTAAATAACACTGATGTAGTTGATGACTCAGAGAAGCTCTAAACTTGAGGAAGCAGATATGATTTCTTTGATCATGAAGTCGAATATGTTACTCTACCATTCTGTGCTTAATCATGTGTTGTTATATATGCTATATACACCATCCCCTCTTATGAAACCTGGCATGTGCTAACATGCCCTAACCCTGACTAAGCAGTTTCACCATAAAAGCATCACAATGTTGCCTTAGCACAGCCCGTTTCTAGTTTTTCGCCCCCCTTTTTTTCGTATCTGTACTAAAGGTAGAACAAAGCACAGCAAGGTTTCTCATACATAAAATGGATTCTTATATAAAAATACTTTACTGCAAATGTGGTTTAATTGACAGATTTTGTAACACCCCATAAATAAGTGCACAATAAAGCCAGGCCTAATGGGAGATGATAACCCTAACCCTAATTGATCCCACATTTAGTCTGGAAGTGGGCAGGGAGTTCCTCTACATGTCTGAAAAACTGAATGTGAATCTTGATGCATTAATGAAATACAGGACTACAAACACAGAAGTACAATAATAAATATCACATATGAGGGTCTATGATGAATGTATTGATTTACTTTTGGGTAACTTTGGCTGGGATAGTCCCAGGTCTGGTTGTGCTGAATCCAGTAATATATCATATGTGACTGTAGCATGTATGGTCAGGGGTCTACATTAAGAAATGTATGATGTGTGCCATCAATAGGCATATATCAATGCTCTACAGTTAGAGAAACTAATGAGACCTTTACTTTGGGGCCATTTTGCCATGCTCATAGTGGACCCCTAGAATATATGACTATTTTCACCACGACTGACATGTGCACCGCGTTTCATGAGTTTTCGAGCATATTGCGGCCTCCAAATATGCAGTCGAAGGGGCTAAAAATAGTAATAGGTAAGAAGAAGAAGAAGAATTCTAGCAAATACAATAGTATATACAGTATATATATATACATAGTATATATTAAATATATATATACTATATATACAATAGTATATATAAGTCAGTGCTCACAATGTTATGGCTGATCCGTGTATTCCATCACTGTGAGAGACATACATAAACAGGTACATCCTCTCTCACCTGTTGTCAGAAGTCATCAGCTTTGCAGTCATCTTGCTGTAGTTGTTAGCAGAGTCCTCCTCCATGGTTGCTGCAGTTGCTGACAGCTCACCAAACAACTCAACCAACCAGGTGAGGCGAGCGATGCCACTGAATGCTGGGAAACCAAATCCAGGCTTCAGAGCTCCACCTTGAACAATTGAACGTACATACACATTGTTATTATTTCTTTATAGACATTTACCTTGAGTACTAACCCTAAGTCAGCTTAGGGGATATGGGGGAGAAAAAGAATACACAGGTGAACTACAATTATATATATATTATACAGATAATTCGTGTTAAGCCATATTCTAAAACCAAACTAAGAAAATACTTTCTGTACTAAGTTTAAAAATGAGATGTAAGTTTGGGTTAAAACTCATAGAAGTATCAAGGTCACCACTCCGCTCTCTTACCAGTAAAATGAAGAGTACCTTCCTGCAGGATTTTTCCCTCTACCTCTCTCTTCAGTTCTTTGTAGTCTTCTGTCAGCAGCTCAATGTGTTCCTCATGGAGAATCACTCCTGACACACACACACACACACACACACACACACACACACACACACACACACACACACACACACACACACACACACACACACACACACACACACACACACACACACACACACACACACACACACGTTAACTGAGATAGTAGATTGAGATGCACAAACTGTTAGTTTGGCCAGTAGTCATTTAGATATTTTCCTCATAGTGGAAGATGTTGTTCATCACCCCATAGTTTCCTCGATATGCTTAGAAGCTGAGTGGTATAATAGATGCGACTCAAGAACTGGTTCCACCTGAGAACTGGTTCCACAATGTCATATTGCCACCACTTCCTTTTATCAATGCCTGCATTATTTTCTCTCTTTGCAAACTCCTCTGTCTATGCTGCTGGAAACTTTCAACAAGAAGGAGTCATGGCAGAGAGGTTAAACTATTTTCACGAAGAAACTCAAACTACTGTAACTCTACTCTGTTTCTACTCTGTGTTTAGACTCAGATAATAAAACAGTTGACGCAGTTGTATGGGCCTTTTTTCCACACAGAAAACTTATCAAGAATCAGTAAGTGAATCGACAGAATAGAAAGAATTGGATTGATAAACAGAATTGATAATGGTATTGGTATCAATAAAACATAATAGACATAATATGGATATGGATATGACCACTGCAATCTTTCACCATTTGGAGCAGTCTGTGCAGGAGTGATCAGGGTATTCAAAAGTATTCATTTCACATTTTTTTGTAATCCAATGGATTACGCTACTAATTTACAAAAATGGCCATGTATTTTGAACATTCCAGTACACTTTAGTATCACCTTTTTCTTGGGCAATGTCCCAGAGCTCCACAGCAGCCTTGTAGTTCATGGTCATGGGATACTCAACGCAGACGTGTTTCCCTGCCTGCAGAAAGGTTCTGATGAGACAGGGGGAGGAAGTTTTCTTGGTCAAAACAGAAATTCGGATTAGAAGGAGTTGTGCATTCTGTTTCTCGGTAGGGCAAAAATATTTGTAAAAATAAGTTTAGAGAACAGAAAGTCAAACAGTGTCTGGTATAAAAGATTGTGTACAGCAGTTTATTTTACTTGAAGGTAAAACAAACTCCACAACATGTGACAGTTGCCTATTTACACACCACACACAGATACAGAGCAACATTAGCATTCAGTTGGAGTTGTTTCTCTGGCCATCTGGTGAATATCGGTGTAGAGCAGGCAGTGTACAGTGGCTTTATCTGAGCTTTGAGCTTCACAAAGGTGGCTTATAAAAGTGTGGCCATCTGAAATCAATGTAGTCAATGTGACACAGATTAAATGTGACTTTTGCAGTTGTTTGTGTCCCATTACCTGACATTGTCCTCGTGTGACACATTCTCAGTGCAGATGAACGCCACATGTATGTCCTCTCTGCTCACAGCCTCTTCTATTGATATTGGACTCACTCCCTGTTGAGAGTCCAGGCTCCTCCTGTTGACAAAAACATCTGTCAGGATGATACTGATGAGAATGTTGCTTAGATCAAAGACACTGTCACCTTTATAGAGTTTGAAAAAGCTATTTTGAATGCCTGTAGATGTGATGTTGCACTGAAAATACTCAAGCTGAAAAGCCAAATTGGGTTTGTAAACTCATACTGTACTGTATTAATAAAGACAGTGTGTCTGGGTTAAAGCTGCAGTAGGTAACTTATACAAATCATTTTTTGTAGTATTGTAGTATTGTAGTAGTATGTGAGACTAAATCAGGTTCCTCTGGCTCCTCCTAGTGCTCCTAATGGCATTTGCAGGAATCTACCGGGCCTGAATGAAAACATCCAATCAGAGCCTAGAAAGATAGTTGATTGTTGAGTCTCACACAGATGCTTTGGGACCCAGGAAATGAAACTCAACACTTAACTGTCTTCAAGCATCTTTCTATCTTTCTTCATCTATCTTCATATCCACTCAGACACATTGAACATCCCTTTTTCTTTGTTCCAAGAATTTTCAAAGCAGTTTGACACAGGTCATTCCAATTTAAAGCTCCATGCAACTGGAATAATCTTAAATTTTTTTAAAATCTGTTTCCTCTTTCTGTTGCTTAAGGACCTCTGTATTTTCTCATGTAAAAACAACTTGCTAATACTTTTAATTTTTGTGAACTTGATATTCTTTAGTGGTTTTAATTTATTATCCAGGTCACTGTATCTAACTTTCTTGTTTAACAACTGAGGGCTGGGGGTGGGGGTGGTAAAGGGCGAGCAAGTTGCCTGTATCTGTTTATTTGCAGTGTATATTTTTATGTAATGCTGTTTTGTGTTTTGTTTTGTATTTGTGTCTTTAGGACCACTCGAAAATAAAATTCTGCATCTCAAGGGGCTGACTTCAATAAATTCAAATTCAGACATTATGCAGTTTCAGAGTAACTAGCCCTGTGGAATCATCTTACACACCTAGGGTATCTAATGCCATATATCTCTTCTGACATTAATCTTTGTGTAACAAACTGTTGTGTGGGGAGAGAAAACCTGGAGAAAGTAGGGGTTCAGGGGACATGTGCCCCCAGGAATTATTTTTAGATAGATAACCTTTTAAATGCTCATGTATTGTTAATTGTGTATTTTCATTTGCCTGTACTCCTCTTGACAGCTGTTGTTTTTTATGAGTGAGTGAATGAGTGACCTCCTTCAGCTGCTTTATTAGTACATAAGTTTTTATCTGTGCATGCAGGCCAGCACGTTTGTGTTACCTGGATATAAATCCTCTGACAGCGAGTTTCTCTGCAGCACTGCCAGGCAGCGGAGCCAACATGTCTCTCATCCTTACCCAACCGGCTGTGCCAATGCCGACCACCACCGCTCCAAACATACTGACTGACAAAGAAAGAGAAGAGATTATTACAGAGTATCAAAAATATAATTATGCATAGTCATATATTTTGAGGCCATCTCCTGGCACCCTCCCATTTTGTTGTTTCTCCCATAATTTGCATGCCCCTCAAACTTTACTATGGGTGATCATACAGAGTTTGTCTGACATCATCCAAGTGGCCAGTTTGTCTATGAAACACAATCTGTAGACCATCCACACACTAGACACAGTTCAGCTCATCGGTTACTGCAACCAGGGTGCGAACTACAAGAGCTTTTAAAATAAATGTAGCTGAGAAACCTTTTTAGGACTATAAACAATGGAATGGGACAGACAACATTTCTTAACTCTACTTACACCGATCAGGCATAACATTCTGCTCTGACGCTCAAAGCCCACCAGATAATCAGTGTTATTCACTTCACTTGTCAGTGCTCACAATGTTATGGCAAGAGCTTGGCTGCTCCTAATATGACATGAGCCCCCTTGAAAACATTGAGGAAGCAGATATGATCCATAAGCATGTCAGTATCAAAGTGCCACATTTTTTAATAGAGTTTGGTCTGTAGAGGTGCAGAGATTTAAATAACACTGATGTAGTTGATGACTCAGAGAAGCTCTAAACTTGAGGAAGCAGATATGATTTCTTTGATCATGAAGTCGAATATGTTACTCTACCATTCTGTGCTTAATCATGTGTTGTTATATATGCTATATACACCATCCCCTCTTATGAAACCTGGCATGTGCTAACATGCCCTAACCCTGACTAAGCAGTTTCACCATAAAAGCATCACAATGTTGCCTTAGCACAGCCCTTTTTTAGTTTTTCGCCCCCCCCTTTTTCGTATCTGTACTAAAGGTAGAACAAAGCACAGCAAGGTTTCTCATACATAAAATGGATTCTTATATAAAAATACTTTACTGCAAATGTGGTTTAATTGACAGATTTTGTAACACCCCATAAATAAGTGCACAATAAAGCCAGGCCTAATGGGAGATGATAACCCTAACCCTAATTGATCCCACATTTAGTCTGGAAGTGGGCAGGGAGTTCCTCTACATGTCTGAAAAACTGAATGTGAATCTTGATGCATTAATGAAATACAGGACTACAAACACAGAAGTACAATAATAAATATCACATATGAGGGTCTATGATGAATGTATTGATTTACTTTTGGGTAACTTTGGCTGGGATAGTCCCAGGTCTGGTTGTGCTGAATCCAGTAATATATCATATGTGACTGTAGCATGTATGGTCAGGGGTCTACATTAAGAAATGTATGATGTGTGCCATCAATAGGCATATATCAATGCTCTACAGTTAGAGAAACTAATGAGACCTTTACTTTGGGGCCATTTTGCCATGCTCATAGTGGACCCCTAGAATATATGACTATTTTCACCACGAATGACATGTGCACCGCGTTTCATGAGTTTTCGAGCATATTGCGGCCTCCAAATATGCAGTCGAAGGGGCTAAAAATAGTAATAGGTAAGAAGAAGAAGAAGAATTCTCTATATATACTGTATATACACAATAGTTTATACTAAATATACAATACACACACACAAACAATAGTATATATAATAGTATACCAGATACAGGTTACACAAGAGCTTGATGTGAGTGAATGCATGAGTGGAGTAACCCTGTTAAATAATCCACTGTGGTATGGAAATAGGCTGGTTCCGATCTCATCTCAATTCCTGTGTCTAACTTTAATCAGACAGAACTCATTCTCTGTCCCGATGTGACTGCGGACAGACTTACAGCCGCCACGTACTGCCCTTACCTGCTGTTATCCCGCTCTTCCGTTGTCGAAGTGAATGAAGAAGTGTCTTATCGCTGTGCGAACATACAAGTTACCTTGACAGAGATGATATAACACAAAGCTAGGGTGAGCATGAACACTTCCCCATAGGCGTGTTTCAGGCATTACATAAGGCGCACTCGCTATGCCTCAACTGGTGGCACCGGCGTAATGGTGAGAGAGGGGCGGTGTAGTCTTTCACGGTTGGGAGGGTTACTTTAAAGCTGCTGTACTGTATTCATTAAGACAGTGTGTCTGGGTTAAAGCTGCAGTAGGTAACTTATAAAAATAATTTTTGTTATATTTGCTGAAACTTTAACCATATCCTGACAGCAGTACATGAGACTAAATCAGGTCATTGTTGAGTCTTATTCCCAAGCTCAACAATCAACTATCTTCAAACCACCAACCCAAAGTGTCTTTCTGTTTTTCTTGGCTCTATGAATGTAAGTGTATTCTATCAGACAACAGAACAATGTAACCTATGAGGGAAGATGGTACGGAAACGTATTGCATTCACTTGAAAAAAAAAAAAACTTTTTTTTCCCCTGTTTTCCTGAGTAATTATTTTCCAGTTTTTCTGACAAATTTTTTCTGTTTTTCGTGGTAATTTTTTCCCCCCTGTTTTTCTGAGTAATTTTTTTTCAGAATTATCGAGATACTTCGAACTCCCGCGAGAACCTCCAACCTGCAAGTGACTCCCATGGACCTATGGAGACTCCTGCCCTCACACAATGCCCCATCTTCAACTATCTATAGTACCGGGTCAATTTTGCTATGTATATATTTCTATGTCTAGCAGATCTGAATGGGCTTTCCTTCTGAACAACCGCAAAGTCCTCAGGTGCCTGCATAGAGTCGACAAACTAAAGATAATACCATCTATATGACTTAAAGACAGGACTATCTCCCAGTGTCTTAAACCCAGATCAGAGTATAACTTGATTGAACTAAACAAGCCCGTTATGTTTGTTTCCGTTAAATCGAGCTCTCAATAAAGGAATGAATGCGTCTATTGTTTCAAATGCTCTCTAAACTCAGAAAAAAAATTTGTCCGAAAAACCAACCATAAAAAAAATTTAATTTTCAAGTGAATGCAATACGCTTCCGTAAGATGGAAATGGAAAACATGGAAAGATTTTTTGCATCAAAACTCTGTTCAGTATATTTTTTTAACCTGTGACTGGTAGTCTATTATCAAATGAGTAAACTAAGTCAACATCCATACCGTACATATGCCAAAATAACAGTTGGTATATGTACCAGCTTTGTCACTTGTCATACTGAAAGATGTGTCATTCATGCTACCATTCACAAGACATTTGATTGATTTATTGATTACTATTTTATATCACATGCATGATAAGAAAGTCCACACATGCTCAGCATTTTGTTTATCTTGTACTGTAAACTAAATGTGTTGTAATTGTGTATTTTCTTTGTGTTGGAAATGCTGTAAAACCGCCATCACATTTGAACAACACAGTTTGTTCAGTACTCCAATAGAAAATGCTTATGTCTTCTGTGTGTCATTTACAATAAATGCACTGTAATTGTGATGTTCCCAGTTGAGAATCTTGATAGAACGCACTAAAAAAACACACTGTGTTAAAATTGACCCCGTGTGCACTGATCTGATTCAGGTTAACCCAGCACTGCATCGGTGCACTCTGGGTAAATTTTATCTCAGCTGTTTTTCAGTGCAAAGACTCAACAGGTATTCAGCAGGGCCCTCTCTTACCAAAGGTAGAACACATACTGTATCATCCCTCTGAATGTTTTATATAATTGCAATGCTGTTTATCATCTGTTTTTATCCAACAGTCCCTTCAATGTGGATAAATGCTGTCAATTGCCATGGCAATATCAACATTTCCCAGAAGACAACATCACAGTATCAAGTCCTTTATTGTCACATGTTAAAGCTATCCTTTCATCTTCAAAGGCCGGAATAGTCTGGCCCCAAGCTATATCTGGAAACTTTTAACCCTCCATGTGCCTCCACAGGTTCTCAAATGCCTCTCCCCTGGAGGTTCCCAAAACCAGATTAAAAAACAAAGAGTGTTTGCCATCAGAGCCCCCAAACTGTGGAACAGTTTTATTATTTACTCTTTTATTTATTGATATGTTTTACAGTGTTTATTGCTTATTCTGTATATTGTTACTGATGGTGCTATGGTTCTTAGTGTTTTATTCCTGATGTTTTTGTTGTTTTACCCTGTAAAAGCATTTTGTAAACCTTTTTGAAAGGTGCCATATAAATAAAGTTTATTATTATTATTATTGTTGTTATTATTATTATTATAAAATCTGAGACATAAGACTTAAAATAGTGCACAAGTTAAAATGTGGATATATAATATGTATATATATATATATATATATATAAGATTAAAAAAAGTACAATACAATAGAATATAATAGTTGGTTGGCAGGTGCACAGTGGTGAATAAATGAATGCAGACTGGTTATGGATGGACCAGAATAGGATTTCAAACAGGCAGTACAGACAGTGGTCGCTGCTCTGGCCCTAATAAGCTACAATCTACAAACTATGTATTTCAATAGCTTCTAACAGGAGGCCTTTTACAGAGATATTATAGCAGGTTAACAGGCACAAAATATTGATTAATGTTGATGTCTGTCCACATTACAGTAGTGAATGTTGGAGCATTCTGAGCTGAGACACACCCGTGTTCTCTAGTCTGCAATGTATAGATAAGATAGATAAAACTCCTTTTTTAAAGGAGGCTGGAGTTTTTAAGAACCACAGGCTGTGCTTTCTCTGCTGCATTTGTTGGAGCATTAAATAAGTGCTCCATTATGACACATTTAGTCTACCAGTGTACACTTCCCCTTAATTCAGGATGCAGGGGGAAAGACAGGTGCAGCTGGCAGATATATGACCAGGAGGGTTAAGAGCTATAGTTATGTAAAAGTTCATTTAATCATAAGAATCATTGTGTTTTCGTTACCTTAGAATGAGCTGTTTCAATCTACAGAGGAGGCGGGTCCTCCTCTATGGAATCCGCCATGTTGAACCATGTTTCTACAGTAGCACAGAACGGACAAACCAAACACTGGCTGTAGATTGGGTCTTTTCACATATTTGCTAAGAGCCGACCACACTGAGCTTCACAATGACTCTTCGGACATCTATGGGTGATGTCAGAGAGTCTACATCCATTATTAGTTATATAGTCATTACATAGTATGAATCACAATGGAAAAATGTTCTTCTTTAGCACTTGCATAACTTACAAACCAAATGCAAAGAAACATTAAAATCCATTTGTGTATATTTTGTATCATCTTTCTATGTTCTGTTCCTAATTATGATATGAGGCAATGTTTAAGAATATGACAATTCCTCTGTAATTATTATGCACCATTGGTATTCAATTCAATTCAATTCAATTCAATTTTATTTGTATAGCACCAATTCATAACAGAAGTTATCTCAGGACACTTTTCAAATAGAGCAGGTCTAGACCGAACTCTTTACTGACATTGTGGTATGCACGCCATAACTGCTGAGCAATTCACCTCTGCAACTTTTTTTTAATGCAATGTGTATTTTTTAATTCATTGTGTTGTGTTGTGTTGTGTTGTGTTGTGTTGTGTTGTTTCTTGATCTACTGTAACATGCAACATCAGTAAAATCTCTAGGGGAATGAATCGAAGTGTAAATGTGCAATATGAGTGGTTATGTTAAATATGAGTAAAACGTTACAGTTACAGCAGTAACACACTGCAGTTATAGAACTATAAACATTGTCTTATGATTTCAGTGTAGGAGTTCAGACGCCGCCTATCCGAACGTGAGGGGAAACGCCAAAGCATTAATGGAGCGCACCCACGTCCAATTGGCGACAGTTTGTTATGACGTTTACGGAAGTAGAGGGAGCGGAGTCGTATAACAGAGTAACCTGTCCGCTGTTAAACAAGGTGAGAATGTCTTCACGGTGTCTTTCACGTAAGCAGCAACGTTTGCTACAGTGTCAATTATGTCAACGTTAGACATGAAAACTACAGAGGACTCATTTCCTGCATGCTGTGAACATCTGTGTGACTGAGCTCCAGCAGTGTGTTCGTCCTCCAGACCCTCACACACACACACACACACACACACACACACATGATTTATCTATTTATGATATGGAAACTATCTAACGTCAGATAACGTCAGTCTTTGTTTACTATTTATCCTTCTAAATGCAGCATTATGAGTGTAAATAGAAATATAAACAATGTAAGAGCACTTGAACTCTAAAGGCAGCAGTGTCAGTAGGGCATGACTTGGCTATCCTGGGGGAAAAAAGGTGAATCATCATATATCATAGCATCATCAATCCTATTCAGGATCTGCTGTCTTTATGTGTGTCCCCAGCTTTAAGCAGAAACTCCAGACTGGTGCCAGAAGGGTTTGCTGCTAACTTAGATAACCACATGAAACCTGCTGAAACCTGCTGAAACCTGCTGAAACCCAGTGCTGGTAGCTTTTAGAAAGGGATACTGACAGCAGGTACGTTAGGTTAAGGAAACGTATGAACATACATACATACATATTATTTAATATTATGGGTAATTCAGCCTCTATCAAGTTACTTTTTAATGTCCCAAACTCAACATGTATAAAGAAACTACAATCCACTCTCCACTGATAGAGAATTTATTTTCAATTATTGTCAACATGAGGACTATTAGATTGCAAATGGTTCCCTGTATACCTTTTTCTGACCAGACCGGTGTGTGTCTGTGCAGCCTGACAAGGAAGTAAGCAAAGATGAGGGTTTCCACCAGTAAGCTACAGCAGCTCACCATCTTCACCACCTTGCTGACTGGTGGAGGGATGGGTACCATGTACTATCTCCAGCAGAGTGAGTACAAATGATCTGTGTGTGTGTGTGTGTGTGTGTGTGTGTGTGTGTGTGTGTGTGTGTGTGTGTGTGTGTGTGTGTGAACTATCTCCAGTGCTTCAGCTTCAGCTGGTTTCATCGCTTACTTGTGAACAGCCCATTCTTGTGCTGTCAGCTGTTTCCAGACAATCATCAGAGATATTATAGCAGGTTAACAGGCAAAAAATATTCATTAATGTTGATGTCTGTCCACATTACAGTAGTGAATGTTGGAGCATTCTGAGCTGAGACACACCCGTGTTCTCTAGTCTGCAATGTATAGATAAGATAGATAAAACTCCTTTTTTAAAGGAGGCTGGAGTTTTTAAGAACCACAGGCTGTGCTTTCTCTGCTGCATTTGTTGGAGCATTAAATAAGTGCTCCATTATGACACATTTAGTCTACCAGTGTACACTTCCCCTTAATTCAGGATGCAGGGGGAAAGACAGGTGCAGCTGGCAGATATATGGCCAGGAGGGTTAAGAGCTATAGTTATGTAAAAGTTAATTCAATTCAATTCAGTTTTATTTGTATAGCGCTAATTCATAACAGAAGTTATCTCAGGACACTTTTCAAATAGAGCAGGTCTAGACCGAACTCTTTAAAACATTATTTACAGAGAGTGTTCCAAGTGTGGAGGAGAAACTACTCATAAAACTTGTATGTGAACGGCCCTGTCTACAGCCAGTGTTAGCCGTTCTGGGCTACTGTAGAAACATGATGGACTCTGTAGAACAGGAGCCGCTCCCTATGTAGATAAAAACAGCTTGTTGTGAGGTAATGAAAACACAATAATTCTTATTTTCAGGTGATTATACACTAATGAATATTTTATTCCATTTCTGACAATAGATCCTCCTAAATGTTACACACTGGACCTTTAACTACATTTGTTGCTTCTTACTTTAACTGAAACATCAGCTACTTAACTGCATACATCCTGGTCCCACACATACAGACTCAAAGTTAGCAGGCTCTCTCTTACGTAGCTGAGCTGCTGACAACTGTGCTTCTGCTTTCCGAGGTAATTGCACATAGATGAACATTTCTCAACCTCTCTGGCTTTCATTCTTCAAGAATCATTCACTGTTTTGTAATCTTCTGTCCAATTAGAGAAATTCACTGAGTCAGACTACCACAGACTGGCTCTGCAAAAGTTGGAAGAATGTCCAGTTGCCATGCAAAGCCTGGGTGCACCGCCTTTAAAAGTCCACAACCTCCATCTGACTGACAGATACAACCGTGTAGATCAGCACATGGCACAGGTACTGTGTTTTAGAAAGTGACAAAATGTGTTATGTGAGTTTGCTGGGAGCTTTTATCAGACTGTCCCACAAAGCATTTGTCACCCCCTGCTGGCGATTGTCACTTGTTACATCCCTGTTTGTTGGAGCATTACTGCAACATGGGTCACAATGTTTGGACTGACACCTCATTGTTTTTTAATTACAGTTGCTAGGCAGGCTCTAATGAAATACTGTTGTTGCATATGTTTAATGTCATTTGTGAGACTGCTGTGGGATTCAAATGACTGACAGTTGTATCTCACGTTCATGTTTTGAAGAGCTCTGATATCTGTCTACACTTGCACTTACACAGATGAATTTGCATTGTATTGCAGATAAAGATTCCTGTGACTGGGTCAAAAACTGGAGGTTATCTGTATACGTTTTCAATTAGAGATCCTAATACGTACGGGTGAGTAAACTCTATTCAATGCAGATATTGACCCTTCTTAAGCCCTGCCCCTTTTTATTCTGTACTCCAGCAACAGTTGAGCAAGCCTTGGTTGCAAACTCCGTCAACTTTCTCCTTAACCGTTAGCTGAAAATCTACATGAATTGTTCCCTAGCTAGAAACATCTGATAGCTAATGTTAGCAAAACGCTAACTAACTAACTGACTAACTAACTAACTATTAGATCTCAATAGCTAATAATTTACTTAAATTAGCTAGCTATTTAGCTAGTGTTTTGCTAACATTAGCTTTCAGATGTTACTAGCTAGGGAACAATTGATGTAGATTTTCTACCTAGTTAGCTAGTGTTTGCTAACATTAGCTAACTTAAGCTGTGACTATATATATGTCCCTTTTAATCTTTTAGCCATCTTCAAAATGTGGTCTAGCACATAGCATATCTAAGTACAGGAAGCTATTTTTTTATTATTTATAATGACCCGCCCTATTCTGCCTTTGATTGTCTAGTACAGGGGTTTTCAAACTTTTTGTGTGTGTGGACCACCAACCACCTCATAATACACATAATAAAATGTCTACACACAGTCCTACCTGAATTAATCCGCACCTCTTAATAGGCCTACTAGCACTAAAACTATAACTGGTCATCGCATCAGTATTGAAATGAATATTAAGTGACGCTACTCGTAAAAGAGCGAAAATAGGGCACAGGCGGAAATATGACTTTCCGATACAACAGGCATGTTGAAAGAAAGTTTACTGCACACAACTGCTGCCACATATTTAATTTATTTATTTACTCAAGCGCCCCATGGCATAATCAGGTTCATTTGAACAACTTATTTCCTTAACAATATAGTATTATTAAATCTATAACGTTACAGTAATAAGAACATTCACTTTTGAACCAACTGTGCATGTGATCACACCGAAAACACAGATTGATATTCCGGTTATGGCATCACTGTGCAGTGTCTGCCTGAGAGCGAGAGAGAGAGAGGGGGAGAGACAGAGACAGAGAAAGAGAATAAGTTCACAGTAGGCCCAGTGGGCCTATAAGCCTAGTAGGCTTAGTTCAAGTGGAAAGCTATTATCACATTTATTTCGTTAATATTAATTCACCCAAATAAAATTACAAAAATATAGGCCTATATTAAAGAAATATATAAATAAATGCTCACCTCATGAGATGGATGATGTTGCTTTGCAGACATTAATTTCTAGATGTCAGGTTCCAGTGATGACAGCCTCAATCTGAGATCTGGTTCAATATTAAGTCTGTTCCGATATTTTGTCTTCAACATGACCAGGGATGAAAATCCTGATTCACAGAGGTAAGTGGTTGGAAAAGGCACAAGCCACTTCAGGGCTTTGTCGGACATCTCGGGGTATTCTGTGGCAACCTTTGGCCAAAAAGCAGGCAGACATCTCTCAGAAAAGTCAATTTTTAAAGCACTGTCACAGGACAGTTCGGCCAGGCTGTCTTGCTCTCTGGAGGTGAGGTCAGGGTGTAGTCATCCAGGGTGGCAAACGGATTTCTTATCCATTTCGCTGTTGTGTCGGGGGTTGGGAAATACATCCGTAGCTGAGTTTTCAGCAGGTGTAGGTGCTGTCTGATATCATCTTGCTCAGCACTTGAAAGGTGCGTGTCTGAGCTGTCTAAAAAATCTGAAAGATTTGAAAATGAGTCATAGTTTGCCTCCTCTACGCGCCTGGCCCACATCCCCATCTTCTTGATTGCTGCTTCAACTTTGTCTTGCGTATGAAAAAGAGTAACCGACTTCCCCTGTAGACTCCTATTTAGTCCATTCAAGTGCTCAAAAATGTCAGACAGATATGCCAACTTGGCAAGCCAGTCTGCATCACTGAATCGTCCAGAAAGGTCGAACTTGGTGTCAAGTAGAAAGAGTCTCACCTCATCTCGCAACTCGTAAAGCCGTGCAAGCACCTTCCCTCTTGACAGCCACCGGACCTCGGTATGGAGCAGCAATTGTCGGTGCTCACTGCCCATCTCCTCACATAAAACTGAGAACAGTCTTGAATTCAGCGGGCGGGCCTTGATGAAATTTACAGTTTTTACTGCTTCATCCAGAACAGTTTTGGTATCAGGAGGCATTCTTTTGGCGGCGAGAGCCTCTCTGTGGATGCTGCAGTGGATAGATTTCACTTGCGGAGCAACTGCTGGCACACGTTTAACAAGGCCGCTGTGTTGGCCTACCATGGCTGCTGCTCCGTCTGTGCTTATTCCCACGCATCTTGACCAATCAATCCCATATTCTGTGATGAAACCATTCAACATGTCAAAAATGCCTCTGCGGTTGTGCGTGTCTGCAAAGGTTTACAAAAGAGAAAGTCCTCCTCTCTTTCTCCGTTGTATTCATACCTTACGTAGGCGAGCAGGTTGGCAAGGTTTGCTATGTCAGTGGATTCGTCCAGCTGAAGAGCAAAAAATTGGGGTTGAGGGTCAGCTGGGTGTTAGAAGCTGATTAGTTGTCTCAGAAGCATGTCTGATGCAAATACACACTAATTCAGTAACCCTGTCAACAAGAGGAACCAAATTCAATTCAATTCAATTCAATTTTATTTTTATAGCGCCAATTCATAACAGAAGTTATCTCAGGACACTTTTCAAATAGAGCAGGTCTAGACCGAACTCTTTATAACATTAAACACATACTTTTAGTAATGTGCTACAATCATGGAATAATGCCTACAATATAAATAAACAGTTCTAATGAAATACACTCCAACTAGTAGGCTAGATGAAGTAGAAAATAAATAGTTAAGGTAGTTAAAGCAGTGCACAGTGATCTATGAATGAATATGAGTACATTATCTGTTCCACAGCTGCTTTATATTGTATGAAAATGACCTTCCTTTCAGTGCATTCACTTAAATTCAATTATATTTGTATGGCGCCAATTCATAATTTAGTTATCTCAGGACACTTTTCAAATAGAGCAGGTCTAGACCGAACTCTTTAAAACATTATTTACAGAGACCCAACAGTTCCACCATGAGCAAGCATTTGGCGACGGGGGCAAGGAAAAGCGTCCTCTTAAGAGGCAGAAACCTTGGACAGACCCTGGCTCTAGGTGGGTGGTCGTCTGCATCGACCAGTTGGGGTACAGAGAGAGGTAAAAACAGAAAGACGGAGACAGAGGTAAAGACAGAAGGACAGAGACAGATCAAGATCAATGGCAGTGAATATCTCATTAACTAATGGTAACATTAAATTTGATACAAATGAATGCTAGACAAACTTCAGGTCGTATGACAGAAACTAGAATTACCGCTCTCTGGTTGTATGTCTTCACCGACCAGTCAAGTTTCAGTTACCCGTCCAGACTCATATAATCTATGTGATGAAGACCTAGAGGGAATTATATAAAAGGTATTAAGAGTGATTTTTGGCTAAATATAAAATGTGACTATATTGATGATACATACATTCATACATACATTGTTTGCAGTCACGTGACTCAAATGACCAGGTTTTAAAATCCAACTGTTAACATGTATGTTACATTCTGACTATGTATGCTATTATTTTGTCAGATAATTGCCAGAACATTGTAACTCACTACTGTAGTTCATACAAATCAGCTTTTTACCATTTGGAATCCTTAGCCAACCAAGCAGAAAACATAATTTATGGTAGAAAGTTGGACGATGATCCACTGTCAAACTTCTCTGAGGAAGAGGAAGTAAACTAACAGGTGCTATCTACTTCTATTTTTTCCCTTAACATATTGAATAAATAATATTTATCCACTACTCAGAAGGTTGGCGGTTTGATCCCCGGCTCCTCCCTCCTGCTGCAAGTGTCCTTGAGCAAAATACTGAACCCCATATTGCTGCATATGCTGTGTGTCAGTGTATGAATGTGTGAGAATGCTAGTTTCTGTTTGAGATGAGTCATCCATTAGTGTGTGAATGTGGCATGTAGTGTAAAAGCGCTTTGAGTGGTCGGAAGAAGAAAGAAAGGCGCTATACAAGTACAGTCCATTTACCACTCTTCTTTACGTTGTCTTTTATAAATGAAAACTGAATTATTGTGTCTGTGCAGCCTTGTTTATTCACTGTGTCCATAAAAGTGTCCTTACGCAGAAAAACATTACGTTTACTTTTCTGATGACTACATCACTGCAGAACTAATAACGGCGTAGAGGCAGCTCTGCGTAGAGGCAGCTCTGCATAGTCGCACGCCAAAATTTTGAAAGCTTGATATACTTGATTATTTTATTCGGGAAAACTGAGTGAGCTATTTTCAGACAAACATCTAACAGACTCAACTCCTTGCATCTATTGTATACTTTTATTCTTCTGAAGGTCAAAGGTCACATTGTCAATGTAGCATTACCAGTGCTTGTTATATGCGCCATTCCTGCTGTGATTGTCCCTCCCTGCAGCTGGAGTCTGAAGCAGGCAGTTCTGAAGATCCGGGAAGGACAGACCATGGACCTGCTGAACCCTCCTCCACCAGCTGCAGCACAAAGCCGGGCAACAGAGCACACACATGGGCTGGACACAGACCACTGGAACTGACCAACCCCATGTACCGATTAGAACAATGAAAGTTGTCGGGTTCCTAGGAGAGGTCTATCGATCCAAATATTATGGATGTATATGTACCAAATGGCAAATACTGAACTCCATGGTCATTGCGAAGAGACTGCAGGTACTGACGATGACACACAGCTCTGTGAGTGTCACTGGGCTTCTACCAGACTGTTCTGGATTATTGTGTTGTGTCTCAGAGTTTGATTTTAATTAAATAATGTGTTGCTGGCATTGCACTGACAGTTGTGTTGCTCTGTTAAGTCACTGCTAGACTTAATTTCCTTTTAAAGTACGATGTGCCACAGGTCCAGCCATGCAAGACCAAGAAGTGTGTAATCCCCCACTAGGGGTTGCCAAAGTTGATTTCTGTGAAGAAACTATTAAATTCAAACTGAAAGCAGTGATGAACAGGCACTTGGCACATTTTGGGGTGTGCT